TGGGTTCGGCCTCTCGAGGCCTCGCATCCTTTGCCTCGCGGCCGCTGGGCCTGTGGCACTCCCCTCGCCGAGCGGCTGGCCGAGTCGGAGGCGGCGGCGTTCGAGAAGCTGCAAGGGGAGTGCCTGCAGCTCGAGCGCGCGGACGTCTGGTACTCTGCCTTCTCGGCGTGCCAGGTTTGCAGCGGGCGGATCTTCTCTGCCTCTTCCGACCCGGTAACGCTCCAGTTCGGTGTGGCCGCGCCGCTAGCCACAATGAGGAGGAGGAGGCGAGGTGAGTTGACTCTTGCGTGCAGGCGTGTGCGGGTGTGTTGTGGCCTTTGAGATGGAGCTGCAGGCGTGGACCCCACCCGCCACCCAACATCTTAAGACTCCCGACGACCACTCTGCCCACTCACCCTGCCTGTGACTGTGTCCTGCCTCAGGCGGCGACGGTCGCGCCGCCGACGCTCGCGCCCGACCCGGCGGTCCTGCTGGCCAAGAAGGCCCTCAAGGCGCAGAACAGCCGATAGCAAGCCGAGACGCTAGAACCGAGATTTGCCGAGATGAGCCGAGACTGGCCGAGATCTCGTCGGTGCCCTCAGACGGCCTCACGGCCGCGCCAGGAGCTCGACCTGCTGACCGTCGCCATGACCGCCGCGCCCCTCCTCCACTCGATCCTCTCCGCCGCCACGCCGCCCGCCCGGCGCAAGGGCAGCCACCAGAGGCGACCTCCAGCCCCGCAGCCAAGACGGCGTCGAGCGCGGCGCGGCATGCCCCGTGAAGCGTGACAGGATTGCTCGCTCTAGGCGGGAGCTGGCGTACCTCAGCCGCGAGGCGATGAAGGGCTGCGGAGCGCGCCGCGGGGCGACGTGCCGCGCGGCGCACCGCCAGTCAAACAAGGCCCGCCGCTTGCGCTAGGCCACAGGGGCTGCTGCCGGCCTGTGCTCTCCCCTCCGGCAGCGCATCCGCGCTCCGGGGGCGGTGGCGTCGCATGCGCATGAGCAGCACGGGCGAGGTGTCGCGCGGATAGAGGCCGATGCAACATGCACACCCATTTCTGTGCGGGGGGAGGCTAGTCGCTCCTCCGCCGCGGACGGTGAAACTAGATGCAGCTCGCAGGGAAAGAGGAATCAATGCACGATGGTTTGAGTTGGGGGGCCCTCCACCGCTCCACGTCCACCGCTGGTGTGCGCATGTCTGTCGGGCGGGAGGGGGGGGGGGGGGGGCGGGCTGACGTAGCGTGAATGTGCTTTTTGAAGTTTGATGCTCACGCGATTTTTTCTTTTGCCTTTTGGGAGGGTGTGCGCGGGGTGGCGGGTGGGCAAAATTCTTTTGTAGTTGGGCAACACAAAATATGGAATATTTCATGTCTTCTTTCTTCATGTGCGAGCGAGAGTTTTACACTACACATGAGCACTAAAGGCTTGGAAGATTAGCCTATTGATCACACTACTGTGTAACGTACTGACGTAAATTTGAAGAGAGGTGTTCCCCAGCAGCGCCCGCGCATAAATATGTGTACGCGAGCCGGTGCTCTTTTTAACTCTCTCTCTCTCTCTCTCTCTGACTGTGTACTTCGTACGGGTACATGCCCCGCGCACGAGCCGGCGCGTGCTAGCTCGAGCCGCCCTCCCCCCTCGCGGCGGGGCCCCGGCGAGACGCGGGCACGGCCCCCCTCCGCAGCATCCACCTCAAAGGGGGCTGTGTGAGCGGCCACAACAGCCGGCGCACTGGCGGCGTCGACAGCAGCGCGCAGACGGCGAGCGACGCGGGGAGGACGGCGCTCACCACCGCGCCGTCGTCGGCGGGGGACCAGACGTTGACCTAAAGGAGGAGCCGCGATTCAGGAAGAGGGAGGGAGCGGTGAAGAGCGCAGGGCCAGAGCAGAGTTGCCTCGCGCCCGCTGAGGGCGGAGAGCCGCTCGAAGACGG